CTGAGGCCGCAACGGTGCATACAAAACCAGTTGAAGGCTACTCCGGCTGCGTCTACAGAGTCGGAGTCGCCTTGAAACACAAGGAGGACAGAGGAGATGGTGAGCAGGACGAGAGCGTTGAAAATGTAAGGAGTGAACTTCTGTGAGTTGAGGAAGAAGGAGAAAAGCGCATTGAAGGCCAACTGGAATGCGCAGATGAGGGAACATGTGGACACATGAAGGTAAGATAGTCCTAGAGAGAGAATACAGGAAGCAACCAAATGCTACTAGGAGCTCAAGAGAGACAGAGACTGGGAAGGCCTTGGGAGTTTGCTCCATTTGCTTCCTGATATGAACTGATAAGAATGGTAATAATGCAAGGATCAGTTCTGTTGATTGCAACTTATATGAGACTGATCATCTCTACATATTGAACAAATGAACGCTTCTATTGCTTATGTTTATCAAGAAAATGTTAACCAGCTCTATCCCAGATACAAAAATATTTGCACAAAAAACTCTGCCATGGGATTTTACCCTTAGGCTAAGATGATAAGAAGCCAAGTAATTTCATGTCCAAGCATGCACAGAAAAGACCTATGGTTCAATTATCTCTTTCTTTAAACCCTTCCACTCTCCACTGGGAACAGCCATTGTTTCGTAAAACGAGCCAAATAATGGTCTAACCTTTTAAACCTGGATTAAAACCTTGCTAATACAAATTTCCAAAAAATTGAAAGGCTCCCCAAATTTCAGAAACATAAGAGAGACCTAAGAGTTTCACATAAAAATATTTCAAAAGAACACGCAAAAACTATAGTGTCAAAGCCTATGTTGCACGGACACACGTACACGGGGATACGGAAAATATTAAAAAACTAACTAGGATACGACTTTGACTCAAAGGTACACATGTACCACTCAAAAATTCCCAAACATGGGAACCAACCATATAAGAACAGAGGTCTAAGATTTTGACATCAAAGAAAAATTCAAAATTCAAAAGAACATTTACATACTTATATAGGAAGTTAGCACGACACACACATATGCATTAAGCAAGCAAAACTAAATTATTTATCAATTGTTCATCATCCTTACCAAAAAGGACAAGACAGAGAAAATAAAAAACTGTGCAGCCCACATGTTTTATTTAGTCCTCTGCTGCGATCAAGACCCTGCCAATTTCGAAAGAAACAAAGGCATCAACACAAGCATACTTGACTTGCGTAGGGGAGAGGTATGGCTTTTCCCAGTGACTCAAAGTAATACTCTTCGGCTTCTGAAATTCCTGCCCTAGAACCTCCGATGCCATGTCCTTCAGGCTCACGCTTCGGGGCCGGTCCCGCCCGTAGCGCCTCGCCTCAAAAACCCTAAGATCCACAGAATTCGCTACCTCCAGGCCATAATCATCCGCCAGCTTTCGAACATCTTGCCCTACCCCGACGCCCACAAAGGTAAAGCTCGGATTCGCAAGAAAGTCGAAAAGGCACTTGGGGATCCGATCGCAGTAGCAGAGCTGAAAAATGAGGCAATTGTGGCCCACGCATAGTTGCAGGGTTGCTACAGGGTTGGTGACGCCTTGGGTGAAGGATGGGCGCTACTCAACGTCGAGGCCGACGATGAGTTCGTGGAGCCGGAAACGGTGTATGTATTTGATTTTCTGGATCCAAGACCTCACCTTGGACGGAGTGTGCGTGACTAGGGTTTCGATATTGTCATCGAAGAAATCTACTCTGTAGAGGTCGTGGGTGTCGCAATTGAATTCGTAGTCTCTGATGTTGATAGCCATGGCTAGGGCCAGGGCTGTGTTTGTGCTTTGCGAAGAAGACGAGTGAAAGATTTTGACGGTTGTTGACTCAGGAAGTCTGATGGTTTGGGGAAAATTGTAAAGGCGCAAAAGGTGTGCTGATCAAAGAGGAACAACAGCGGTAAATGTCTGTCCCAAAAAAAGAAAAAAAGGGTAAACGTGGGGTTTTGGGATAAAATTTCGAGTAATTATAGTCTAGTACTACCACGTGTTATAATAAAAGTAAATATCTATTGATATTATTTCTTTAAACAAAAAATATTAATCATGTTGTCCACTCACATTATAACACTTGCAGGCGCGTGTTGAGAGTGTTTGTCCCACATTAAAATGTTAAGGGAAGCCTGAGTTTATAAGGAGTTGAGCTACTCCCCCTATTGCCAATTGGTTTTGGGGTGGAACCTCAACTTCCTTCATGGTATTAAAACGGGTTAGCCTACGTGTGAAAGCCCAACGGCCACACGTGCTCCACTTCACCCAAAATGTGTTGTCCACGTGTTAGGCTTGAAAATTCGACACACGTGCGTGGGCGTGTGAGAATGTGAAGATAAAGAGTCCCACATTGAAAAGTTGAGAAACCTAGCATGCGCTTATAAGGAGTTGGGCTACTCCCCCCATTGCCAATTGGTTTTGGGATGGAACATCAACTTCCTTCAAAATGGCCGCACTTGAATACCATTTTATCATTTCTCTAAAATTTCACCTAAGAAGTGTGTTTTTTTTGTTTTTCTTTTTGGAAATAGATGCTTTATTAAAAAATAATAAACACTATAAAAGTGTACAAATATAACACTCAAACAACAATACTATCCAAAACCTAGCATGAGAGACATGAACAAATGCGTGATCTTTAAATAAAAGACTTGCGCATGAACAACTCAAAGAGATACAACAATAAAAAAGAAGAAGAAAGAATAGGAAGCCTATACATCACTGCAATCTACACATCAACAAAACATTAGCAACACCAGAAACTTGCAACTAACAAAGCATTGCAAACGTCAACATGGATCTAAAAATGACGTGGCCGTGAAGGCCAACAACTCGAACACAATTGCAAAATTCAGCAACGAAATTTAGGATCTGCGACAGCCACCGGATGAAAGAGAGAAAAAAGAGAAGTAGAGAGAAACAAACAAGCATGGGCAGAACTACCACAATGGCTACAGTGGGATGTAGCCCAGTGAGATTTTTGGGTAAAAAAATATATTAAACCTATATATTTGCCTTATTTCAAATATAGCACAATATCTATTAACCTATTAAAGTAAAAAAAATATCTGATTCTTTATGAATTTAGTTGCATGGCAACAATAAAAATACCTATTAAGATATGTACACTTTCAATTTTGTTGTTGAACATATTTTCATTTTGATAATTTTGGTTGCAAATTAATATGTATTTGTTTTAAGTTAAAGCTAATTCAAAATTAAAGAGGTTTGTAGCTCAAATAGTTAAGACCATTTACCATTGTCTAAGGTTCGATTTTCACTCCCTCAATATCACTTGTATCCAATTTTTTTTTAAATATTGAAAATTAGTCAATTGAACTATGAACTAACGTGGTTTACATGATTTAATGTATACTTTTAATTCTACCAAAAAAAAATAAAATTGTAAGTACAAAAACAATGATCATTAGATTTTTAGCTAATAAATGTAGCTCACTCGTTGAAAAATTCATGGTTATGCCCTTGCAAACAAGAAGGAAAAACAAAAGAAAAAGAAAAATGAAACTTCCTCTTTGCTCAAGAAGGAGAAAAAGAAAAATGAAACAAACAAAGAAAAATGAAAAGGAGAGGAGAGAAAAAAAAGAGAAGGAAAAGGAAAAAAGAGAAAGGAAAAAGAAAAAGAGAGAGAGAGAGAAAAGGGACAGTAGAAATAGGAAGAAGAAAAGAAGGGAAAAGGAGGAGAGGGAAGAAGGAGAGAAGAGAAAAGAGAAAGAGGAAGAAAGAGAAAAAGGAAAAAGAAGAGGAAAGATCGGTGTTATAAAACATGTAAACCAACGATTGTATCTCTGCACAAACAAACCATCAATAACTGCTCCAAGACCGATCATACTTGTATACAACAGCCACACCACTTCCTGCATAAATGCCACCAAAAAAAGAACACAACAAAACCAATCGACAGTAAAACTGTGACAGACCAAAAACTGCGCAACAACACAACGAGATGGAACAATTGTCTATGTCAACAAAACGAACCCAAACGCAGTGGTGATAATAAACCCATTAAGGGCAGTCTTCAGAAACAACAATCATGAGAAGTTCATTCAAAAATATTTTTCACTTCTTGACTAAATCAACTGCCACCCAACGAATTGTATCCTTGCACAATAAAACTGACAATAACTGCTCTTATCAATTATACTTTTGTGCAAGAACCACACCACTTGTAGAAATTTCCCCGGCTGGTGTCACCAAAAAAGATGAAACCCAACAAGACAATCGATAGAAATGATGGTGGTTAAAATAGATGAAATCTTGAAAAACGCAAAACATACAGAGAGAAAGGGAGCAAACAAGGATAGAGAGAGAGGGTTGGACAAGGAAAGCGTCTTTGTTTTTCTTTCTTCTTTCCTTT